GAACAGATTCCCATCTCCCTGCAATTGCTCTTGTACCCGGAGATAAATGAGCAATTCAAAGACCTGGAGAAAGCATTACTGCTGAACTGAGCCCACAACGCAGGCAGGGATTCAGAAGTTGCCCCATTAAATGAGCAAGAAGAAAGTTACACCTTGGCGAGCACCTCTGTGGCAGCAAGTAGAGACAAGAATCTACTAACATCATGTGCAGTTGGACTAGTGACACAGCACATACCTGCTCAGCAGGTAAAAAGTTCTTCACATTTTCAGCTTGCCCCTTTGCTAGGCAACATGTTGAGCCACATCTGCTGTTGAGATGTGCAGAAGGCTCAAGACTGACAGCCACTAGGACAAGAGTGGTACACAGAGTAAGAGATATTAAAGCATCGAGTTTGCAAAACCTGTAATTCACCAAGGAACACTCCAGCTTTTCAAACATTTACCATTCAAATTCTTTTCCTCATCTCATATTCTAGCTGACACATAGAGAAATTTGTAACACCTGACAGTAACTAGTTACCAAGAGTTAATATATTTTTTTAATAAGATGATAACAGACGAGCAAAAAATAGACAACAGACAGGGACTCCGGAGATTTCCTAATACAATACCCTGCTCAAAGCTGGGTGAACGAGGGCAAGTTGCTCATATCCATGTCCAGTCAGACTGTCATCATCTTCTTCAAAGACAGGCTCCAAAACCTCTCCAGATCACCTGTCTGAGGTGTTTGACCAACCTCACAGTAAAATAATTATCTTAAAAGGAAATTTCCTGTATTTCGGTTTGTAAACATACACCTTGACAAGATTTTCCCCGAGGCTTCTCCTCTCCAGGCTGAAGAATACCAGTTCCCAAAGTCTCATCTCATAAGAGAGACACTCCCATCCCTTACTAATCTTCATGATCATTTGCTGGACTTGCTGCAGTATGCCCACGTCTCTCTTACCCTGGGGAGCCTGGGACCGGACAAAGTACTCCAGATGTGTCACGCCCTACAGAGTAGAGGGGAAGGATCATCCTCTTGAGCTGCCAGGGATGCTCTTCCTAATACAACTACTACCAAGCTGTGGGGTATACCACTAGGGTACTGATTTCCAACTGGACTTTGAGATGAACTGAAAACTATCTGAGCTGATGGCCATACGGGGTTGTGGTCAGCAGAACATTGTTCTTTTGTCTAACCCAAACTTCATCAGTTTAGCCATGAGGATGTTATGGGAGCCTGTGTCAAAAGCCTTACTAAAGTCAAGATAAACACATCCATTGCTCTTCCCTTATCTACCAGTCTAGTCATCTCATCAGGTTCATCAAGCATGATTTCACCTTCATAAATCCATGCTGACTACTCCCAATCACCTTCTTGTCCTCTATGTGCTTGCAAACAGTTTCCAGGATTATTTGCTCCATTAACCTGCCTGGGGACTGACAGAAGCAAATCTTCCATAGGTTCACAGACTTGTCTCCTTGCACTTTTTGAAGAGACTGGTGACAATTGCAGGAATCTCTCTCAATTGCTATGACATTTCCAAGATAATAAAGAGTGGCCTCACATTGGCATCAATCAGCTCATTCAGCACTTGTTAGTATATCTCACCAAGTGCTGTGGACATGTGTATGTCCTGTTAAAGTATTTCATATTCTAAGCCTCATCCAGTAAGGCTGACTTCACCACTGACTGCTCCTGACTTCACCTCTGATCTCAGCGACCTGGGGTTGCTGAAGGCAAGTTTTACCAGTAAGGTAATGATAAAGAAGGCAGCGAATACTTCAGTCATTTCCCCAACCTTTGCCACAAGATCCTCCTGCCCCACTCAGGAGTGGATCCAAATTTTCTCTCATATCTGTTTAAAAGCCCTTCTTGTTGCTCTTCACATCACTTGTCAGATTCTGGGTGGGCTCTGGCTTTCCTAATGCTGTCTTTGAATGATCACTGTCTCTACATGCTTCCTGGGTCGCCTTTCCCTGCTTCCAGCTCTTCTACACTTTTTTTACAGAAGTGGTCAAATCATGGGGACTTGCACTCAATGCTTCCTCCATTTCAGTACCCCATCATAAACAGCACTCAGTTTCAAGTCACTCAATTCAATCCCCAGAGGACTTCTGGGGATATGACATGAAGTCCCCCAGCAAGGGTTTTATGAAAACCTGACTCTTAATCAAAGGAACAGTCTTAAATGAGTACACTTGGCCAAAGCACTTAATGATGACCTTCACTGAGCAGGTTTTGAAGGTGCTCCCCAAACAAGGTCTCATCTTTTCATTTTCTCTGTTTTCATTAGGTGATGATATGGAAACCCTGCAGCGCTAGAATCTATTTCAAATTCCAAGTCGGGGGCTAAGCAAGAACAAGTAATAAGCATGCTTTAGTGGCCACTTTAAAGCACAGGGTGTTCAATTTCCTCTTGCTCTAGATCTTCCATTATAAAGACATTACCTCTTCATCATGGCAGCTCATTAGCATTCACTTCAAACACAACTCCACAATATGTCACAGAATACTATCAGGTAATTCAGGCTCCTAAATTGCATAGCTGGCACCAATACAAACTTCTTGTTTTATATTAGACAATGAAAGGCCTCCTTGTTCCATTCTTATTTCTCGCTGATAAAACAGAGGTTGAGGTTTATGCACAGTACACACAACAAGGGAACACATCCATAAGTTGAATGAACTTCTAAAGTATTTCACAATCCTCCCTAGCAAGGAGTTTACAAAATGCTGCTATTCTTTTCACTGAAATAAACACTGTTTTCAGGATAATTAATTTTTTTTTTTAAAATCTTATTTCCAAAAGTATGAAAGATATTGCACGTTCCAATAATTTATTAATCTGCAGTACTGTGTTAAACCTTGGTTCTTTCCAGCAGTGATGTTTCAAGAGCAGTTGGAAGTCAAATAACTGTGTCCAGGGTCTTAAAAATTGAAAGTAAACAGGTTAAAAGGAAAGTTAAATTCTGTGAAGAGTTTTAGGTATCCAGAAAGAACAGCACTATTGGAAAGAAATTCTGCAGCATCCAATCATTTTATGTTAATGAATTATAAGGTAAATATTAATTTAATAAATTTGTAAAAGCTTGTTTACCCATTCTAAAAGCATAACATCTTTAATAGTAATCTGAAGAGGATTACCAAACAGCATTTTAACTTCTGAGGTCACTTAGAAAGCAGGCAAGGCTGAAGAGGTAATTGAGGGTGGCCTCTGCAAGGAGAGGCTGGAGCTGTCCCATGCTGGACGTGACTGGTTCCAAAGACCCACTGCAGGGCATGGCTGAGCACCTCAGCCACGATGGTGCCACCTCAGGGAAAACATATGCAAGGAAGAGCCAAACACTGCCTGGCAGTGAGGGGTGAGAAAAGAAGTGTGAGAAACAGCCCTACAAGCACTCTGGTCAGAAGGCGGAAGTGAGGAGATGCTGCAGGCACCAGAGCAGAGATTTCTTCACAGCTCCTGGAGCTACCATGGTGGAAACAATGAATTCACTTTGGTTGGCTGCCAAACACCCAGCCAGCCGCTTTTCCTCCTCAACAGGATAGGGGAGAAAGTAAGATGGAAAAGTCTTATTGGTCAAGATAAATAAGTAACTGGGAGAGGTAGTGGGAAAAGCTGGGACTGGATGTTGCCACATTCTCCTCTATGAAGAATCTTTCATGGTTAGCAGTGAAAGGATAAGGGGTGCAATATTACTGTGTGTGTAAACTTTTAACCTTTGTCGTGATGATATTCTCATATTAGTGTGGGGATTTCCACCAGCACATACCACCAACCCTTCAGCAAAACAAGGAATTTATTCACTGCTTCCCATAAGCAGGCAGATGCCCAGCTGCTTCTTGAAAAGCAGGGCCTCAGCACGTAAAACCATTACTTGGGAAGACAAAACACCACCACTGAATGCCTCTACCCTTTTATTCCCCCTCTCCTTGAGCTTTTATTGCCAACCACAATATCCTGTGGTAGGGAATATCCCTTTAGTCAGATGAGGGTTCAGCAACAGCCACAGGTGCATTATCAACACTTCCAGCTGTAAAATGGGCTGCTGCAAAGGAAGTTGCCTTCAACACAACCAGACCCAAAACAATCTCCACCCCTTATTTCATACCACTTGTATTACACCCAGGTCCCACATTACCCAACACATGTAAGTAATCTCTGACTAGACCATCTTTTCTTTGTCATTCCTGAGGTCCTTTTATACCAACACTTACACGTTCTCCACACTTACACCATTTTTATGTCCATCAGTCAGATTTATACATACTCATTAACCAATATCCTCTGTCCAAAGCCAATTCTCCTCACCAAGGTAGCTAGCTAAAAAAACTGTTTCATTTAGACTTCAAAACATGGAAGGGTGCTTACAAAGAAGCAGCTATACAAGTCACTGGTTTCAAAGACAGAATACTAGACAAAGTAATATAGTACACGTTGCCTTCAAGTATACATGTACATAAGGGTGTAAAATCTAAAGGCAACATTCAGTCCTTCATAGAGAAAAAGTCTTTGCAACCACTGACAGTGCCTTCATCTCGCAGCATTCTGAGAAATAAGTTTGTGCTCAGGAAGTAGCATAAAACACTTTAACTTTAGACCTGTTTGTCTGTATCTACTACAGGATGACCTACCAGTTAGCTTTGTTACTTTTATCTCGGTTTTCCATTTCCATCTCAGCCATTATCATGGTGAGATAACCTTCAACAAGCACCACAGAGCTATTTTATTAATAGCTACTATTAATAAAATACTACTCAAGCAGCAAAACCAGATGAGAGCAAAAAAAAAAAAATCCAAACTAAATGCAACCTTTAAGAACCATCTCTTCTCTCATTTTCATTTTTTCTGGCTAAACAGGGATAGAGTGTATCATATTAATCCCCATTCCTACTTTTATGTTACAGAAAACTGCCCGCACTCACAGCCATTTAAGCCAGTCTTATCCCTGCTAAGACTGTGCAAGGAAAACAGTGTTAGTTTAAAGCTCTGCCTAAAAGGAAAGGCTCTTACCTGCATTAGCCCAGGGAAGATACCAGGGGCAGCTGACATTCACATAGGTGCCAGGCAGTCCATCTGGCCAGCAGGCATAGTCATCAAATGTTCTGTTGCAAAACTTGCCTTCTGCAGAGAAAAAGAAGGGAGGGTTATGCCACTGACTTGTATTAATAGTGCAAGAAGGAAAAGACTAAAGAGCAAAGTATAAAAGAAAACACAGACACATGCATTTAAGCCATAACAGCATTATGCATTTAAGCTTTGATGTGCAATTAAATGACATTTAGTTTTCTGAGAGTTTATTCCCACACAGGAAATAAGAGCAGATTAGGGTCTTAGTCTAAATCAATAGGCAAGAAAGATAAATTAATACTAATCCATTACCATCTTTTCTCTTTTACACACTTATGTGTCTCAGTTTAATTAAAATAATTTTTGCTATGAACACTACATAAATTCCTCAGAATGGTTCACAATCCTGCAGTTGGAAAGTCTAGCCTAATATATAGATCCATCAACGAAATACACACACACAACCATAACTTTGCACTACAGCTTAATCAACATGATAATATTTCAACTTCAGATTTATTAAACTGTCATTCTTAGAGGGCAGCACTCAACTGCTCAACAGGATAATGGAGCAGAGGGAGATGAATGTGTCCCTGCCATTGCTGTCATCAGCTCCTGCTCTCATTCTGCCATAATAACACAGTTAAGACAAGGAATATTGACAGTTTTTAAGTAATTCTTTACAGACACAACTTTAGACCCATCTTATCTTTTTTAAGTGTGTGACAAACGCACTGAAGCATAGGAGAGGCTGCATGGTGTCCAGTTGTGAGTATCACTGACAAGGCACCAGTGTCCTCCAAAAACCATGATGCTGACACATCACAGATGTTCTCAGCACATTATTGTAGCTTGTCGTAGTGTTTGGGCTGCTTTCTCCTTTTCTTAAGTCACTTGTTTTTTTCCAAAGCCATTTCAGCATTTTACAATGCTCAAAATAATTTATACCAGCTTTACAACCCACAAACTCCTAGTTCAATAGGAACAGCAGGGTTCCAGATTTTCTAATATCTCGACCCCTATAAAAGTTACAGGGGTATTACATTAGTGGGCTCTTGATGTGCTACAGCCACCACTTGCCACTGCAAAACACTCTGGACCTATGGACAAACATCTTTACAATGAAATTTTTCTATGAAATGCTTCCTCAGCAGAGGGAAGAGTCCCACAGAGAGCAGGCAGAAGCAAATGGGACAAAGAAGCAATGGACCAGAAAGTAAGCTTGAGAAGTATTTTCAAGCTCATAATCACTACCTTGCTACTGTTATCATGCATTTTAAAAACTAATATATCCTATCCTGACCAAATTAGCTTACCTGAAACAATAGGGGGTGTCTCATATAAGTATTTTTGGCATTGGAGCTGGTACTCCTTCCACTTCTGCATAACTTCAGATAGAGACCCATCTGAACTCTGAAAGAAAAACCATGAGTCTCAGACATTGCAGGAATTTAAGTCACATGGCTTTTTATGTAGACTGAGTAGGTGAGTGTGAAAATTACTACAAAAAGACAAAACAGCATTGCTTCTCATCCCTTTCTATTTGTATAGAAATCCCTTTCCATTTGTACCACGAGGAACTGAAAAACCCACAAACCATATCCTCATATATCTATAGCCTTGCTGAAACCCAAACTGAGCTAGCCTTGCCCTCTTGAACATGCCCCAACTATGTGATTTTTTTATCTCAAGAAAAGATAGGGACAGCAGTTAGCCCTTTATTAGTAGAGATTTTCTTTCCAACAGCAGTATTTCTGCTTTCCCATAAATGAAACCAAATTAGTTCACTGTATTCAGCAGATATTCCTCAAGTATTCTTCCAGAATGTGGATGAAAGCTTTTCCAACTCATCTTTTCTTCCATGAGCAGCTTTTCCCTGCATCGAGCATATTTTTCCTGAAACTGCAGAAAGAACAGGAACCTCCTTTTTGCACATTTTAACAGGCTGCAGGTTCCACCATCAGCTAAACCAAATAGTGAGGGGGCAGAAGAAAAGTATGTACAAACTTCCACTGAGGACAAAGGAAATTAGCTGTTATTACAATGAGCAGCTAACTCAGCGCTGGCTGCTCACTCAACCCTAGTAGATGTCCCACCTGCCTCACAGAGATCCAGCTTACTCACTGCATTTAAGTAGAAACATCAGTCCTTCTCTCCTCTCTTCACATTCGTATAAACTGAATTACGAATGTAATGTACAGGATTAGCAGGCTGTAAGTGATTAACAGTGCAGCTAACTCAGCCTTCTTTTTCCAGAGAAAGGCTCAGCATGGACGTGTCAGACATACAATCAACAGCATGAACGTAGTGGTACAACACACTAACATTGAGTGAGGGTACATTCATTTAATCCCAGATGTCCATCAGTTTATTTAGTGAAGCACTAGAGTAAACAATCCTTGCAGTTTTACCCTCTCACCTTCAACGGCTAATTTTTATTTTCCGCTTGTGCTTCTAAACCTTTCTCAGATGGCTAGAATAAAACCAGGGCACAGGAAGAATTATTTTAAAATGAAGAAGTAATTTTAAAACTATATTGCACTTCAGGAAAGCTAAACCAAATGCTGTCCTCTACAACCAATGTGACCAAAATTTAGACACTAGTGGAATCACCTTGGTATAAAAGAACAGAAGCAGAACTGATATTTTTGGACTACAGCCACCTCAAGTCCTCTTCATTTATATCCTTCCAATTAAAAAAGTGTTAGAAAAGAAAAAAACCAAACACCATATGCATAATGCTTTTGCCTGGATTAAGCCACCAGATTTACTTACAAATATGCTCTTGTACATGTGATAAATAGAACACTCAGTAGATATCTGTGTTGTGCTTCAAGGATAACTACCTACAACTTACCTGTAGCTAGGGCCTTGTGGCCATAATTTAGAATTTAGCCAGCTCTCCCTGAAGTCAAAACAAGCACAAATCTGTGGATCTTGGAAACTCTGACCCTGTGCGCCTGATTTTAATAATCTGATCTATGCCAATAAATGCTGCAAAGTCTGTCTGGGCTAAAGTCCCTATCATAAAATGAACGGATTCCACTGAATTTTAACTCCATGTGCCTATGGAAACACAAATCTTTAACGCAGTGATCTATGCTCAACATACCTGAAGGGGAAAGAAAACATCACCTAAATTAGGTCGACAGGTATGTGTAGAGAAACAGATAATCAGTAACTAAAACTAAAATGCCATTTACAGATCTACATAGGCTGAAAAAGGATAAATGACCAGAGTACAGGGAGAAGAACAGCTTTCAAAGTGTAGCTTCTCTCAGGCAGTCTTTAAAAAGTGACTTTCAGGTTATATGTAATTTATAACCATAGAATCATTTAAAGGTCTTCATCTTACAAAGGTGGTTATTGACGTTACACAGGACTGTTTCACTATCTTCTTATCACCAGGTTAACACTAATAAAGGAATGAGAAGGACATTTTCTGGATGAACTCTTAAATTACGATTCAGAATAATTTCAGAAGTCACTAGATGTCACACATCTTCCCAAAAAGTAACTGTTGATCAAGTATGTTGATGACTATTACATCAAGTTAATCCAAATCCAGCTTTTAAAATCATTACAAGATAAAGATGCATACAGAATTTCATTTAGAAACAAGACTCTATCTCTTAAAATACCCTGACAATACCCTAAAACTGCTTGCATTAAGAAAATTTGCTCTTTTGGAGTCAGCAAGCCCTAAAGTATCTTTTGCTAAATCAAGCTTTCATCTATTGCCTTCAAAAATGCAGGAAGAACCAGCTTTAATTACAGCTGAGGAAAAAGCAAGCCTCTATCCCTTCATTTAATGAAAAAGTAAAAACATTCTACTTATATTGGTTTTTCATAATGTGAGAAGAAGCTCTAACAGGAAGATTAGCAAACTATAAGAGTAAAATAATTAGACATGCCTTTCTGTGGATAAGACAAATTTGGTAGACAGTTTCCTGTTATCTATAGCTGCAATAAGACAATCAAATATAAATTCCAAGACCACATAATTTGTTCTCTCTATGCAACAGTTCACTCTGGTTCAGCTAAATACCATGCTTTCTTACCAGACAAATTGACTTAAACTTGCTTTTAATATATGCTAATCTCTATTTCCAAGGGCTTTTGGCCCACATGAATGAGAATCACAAGTTACACAGTACCATAGATTTACCATGTGAGCAGTTACTCAAATAAGAGATACTGTATTTTCTTGAAAAGTTATTTAATTCCTTCCAAAACAAAGCACTAAAGGAACATATAAAAGCCAAAGGTTAATTGGTCAGCACCCAAAATTTCGAGCAAATGGAAAAAACATAGCTTTGTTAAACTCAAAACTATATTTTTGTTGCTTAAAAGCATGTAGTTGTGGCTTTGTTTGGGGATTTTTTCCTAGTCATACTCAACCACAGGAGGAAAAACAGCAGTAGTTTTGCTGTGGTGAAAATATATCACAGAAGGATAGTGGAGGAGAAGATAGAAGCACGGCTGATTGGTTAAGGTGGAGGAGTCAAAAGGCATGAATGGGTGAAGGACATTAGGGAGGTGAGTGATGGTGCAGCCAAAGGAGCTTAAAACAGACAGAGAAAAATTAGGATGGGCAAGAGGAGAGACTGGGAGTGTCTCAGTGTAAGTATACAATTAAGTGTAATTAATCTCTAGAGAGCACACTCTAAATTAGCACATTGAACAGTCTGAAGATAGAATTCCTTACAAACCCTTAAAAACTTCATAGGAAAGCCCCTTTCCATAGCCATCATTTGTCTTCATAGCACCTACTGTAAAACGAAGCATTTTAATCACTTTTCAACATCTTTGAAACAATTTCTGCTGAAACAAAAGCAACATCCATACAGATCCAAGGTGCTCAATGCCACAAAAGCAATATTCTAATACAGTGAGATCTGAGCATGCAGAATATAAATCTGCAGGAAAAATACACCATGAAACGGCATCAAAGTGGAAGGGGGAGTTCTCAGAGCTTCATAAGCAGCTGGTGACTCCTGGGGTTATCTTCTTTCCTCTTCTCCCATCATCACATATAAGGTCTCATATGCAATAGAATGAGAAATTCCTCCTTACATTTGTATTTCTTTTGTCTTTGTCTGTTTTTAAAAGGGAACACTTATGTTACAATATTTTCATGCTTCTAATATTTCAGAATAACAAGCAAGACTTCACCTTGCCATTAAAGGATCACATCAAGTTGAATATGAGTCAGCAGTGCCCTGGCAGCCAGGAGGGCCAACCGTGTCCTGGGGGGCATCAGGGAAAGCATCACCAGCCAATCCAGGGAGGGGATTGTCCCACTCTGCTCTGCACTGGGGCAGCCTCACCTCGAATATTGTGCACAGTTTTGGGCACCACAATACAAGAAAGATATGAAGCTCTTAGAGAGCATCCAAAGGAAGGCAGTGAAGATGGTGAAGGGCATTGAGGGGAAGCCGTATGAGGAGCAGCTGAGGTCACTTGGTCTGTTCAGCCTGGAGAAGAGGAGACTGAGGGGAGACCTCATTGCAGTTACAACTTCCTCATGAGGGGAACAGGAGGGGCAGGCACTGATCTCTTCTCTGTGGTGACCAGTGACAGGACCTGAGGGAATGGCTTGAAGTTGTGTCAGGAGAGGTTTGGGTTGGATATAAGAAAGAGGTTTTTCACCCAGAGGGTGGTTGGGCACTGAACAGGTTCCCCAAGGAAGTGGTCACAGCACCAAGCCTGACAGAGTTCAAGAAGCGTTTGGACAATGCTCTCAGGCACATGGTATGACTCTTGGGGATGGTCCTGTGCAGGGCCAGGAGTTGGACTTGATGATCCTTGTGGGTCCCTTCCAACTCAGCATATTCTGCAATGTAATCTTAGAACCACTGGGACCTCCAAATTGCTAATCATAGTGTTCAAAAGCAAAAGATAACCAACTTGGCACTGAACAACACTTTGGCATGGCTTTGGTATTCTTCCCTTGGATAGTAACTATGACATACCTACCTTGTGAGAAAAGGATTCAGATTATATTTCCTGCCTTTTATCTCAGAAGCATCAGCAAGTTACTTTTAAATTTCACTGCTTTTTTTGGAAAGTGCAATGCAACATTATTTCAAGGCTATTCTGCTCAGGATCAGCACAGCAACTAAGTCCAAGATAGGTGAAGATTACACATTACCAGATTTATGCTCATTCCGACTTAACATTCTTTCCTGTATAAGATAGATCTTTTAAATCATCTGTTATGTAACATAAGATATAGGTTTCCATCAATAAAAGCCAACACAGCAGTGAGTTAATTGAATTGTTTATTCAATTCATAGCATGGACATAAGCTGGAATTTACAGTTTTGTCCTCAAATCACAGCCCAAATGGGGCAAAACACAACATGGCTACCCCACAACAATCTGCTGGGACCCAATAGCATCTTTCATTT